GAAGAGGAACATAATCAGGTTACGTAATATGAGACAACAACAGCAACAACTATTCTTAATTAAGGGGAAGAGCAAAACAAAATTAAAATAAAATGTGTTTCAGAGAAAAACAAAACAAAGAAACAGTCGGGGGAAGCATTATTAGCTTTACTAGTATTAGGAGGAAGGAAAGAAACACTGCCAGACTCAGTTTTCCCTGGCATGAACAACACTGGGCACCTGCCATGTCTTGTTTGGAGCTCACTCTTTTGTACCAACTGGGATAAGACCTCAGTTTTCTTTCAGTGACAAAAAAAGAAAGAAAGAAAGAAAGAAAGAAAGAAAGAAAGAAAGAAAGAAAATAAACATTTGAGCATTAAAAAAATTAACATTGGCTTTATTGGGACCTTCCCCCTTATTGGCCTTTTGTTTGTATATTATATTTCACAGTCTCAATTTATGTGTGTGTGTGTGTGTATGCACGTGTTGCTTGTTCTTTGTTTTTAATTTTTCTTTTTGTTTGTGTGCTTATTTTGTTTTAGTCTTGTTATTTATTTTTTATTATTTGCCTATTGGCATGGGGTTTGAAGGGTAGAGAGGAGGATTTGGGAATAGAAGAGAGGGGGGAACCATAGTCAGAATATATTGTATAAAAATAACTTTATTTTCAATAAAAAGTAAAATTAAAAAGAGTAAAAAAAAAAAACCACCCAACATCTTCCTCCACTGCCAACTGCCCGTTGCACATCCACAGACCTTATCAAGACCTGGCTGTGAACCCTCTTTGTTTTTGAACCATTTTTTAAAGGAAGTTGCAATTCCCTCTCCTATCCCGTCTCCTATGGTCCCCCTCTTCCCATGGCCATCTCTACATCTACAGGCCTAACTTCAGATCCCTCAGCTCACATATGAGCCACCTGTGACTGGTGAGAATCTCCCTTCTTCTGTCTTCCTCTCTATCCACTGCCAGCTCTACACCCACAGGCCTTGCTCTGCACCTGTGGTTTGGGGGCCATCTTTGTCCGGTCAAATTTAACAGCTAACCCACCAGATTTATCTGCTCTAGCTCCAGTCATACAGCTCCTATACTGGTTTAACCTAAGGTATGACAGACTTTCATGCCAGACACACAACCAAAGAAAGATAGCCTAGGCCAAATCATGAGAACAACAATAATTTTTATCTAAGTAATTTAAAGGAAACATGAACAAACCCTTCATTGAACTTCAAGAGGCTGACAATAAATGCCTGAGTTATTTCCAAGACAGGAAAAATATGTGGCTGAATGAAATGACTAAGTTAATTTAGGATTTGAAGACTGAAATCAATAATGAGAGAGAAACATTGAAGAGAACACAAACTGGAAGGAAGATGGAATTAAAAAAAAGATGACTATCTCTATTAGGAAACTCGGGGGAAACTTGCAAATATAATGAACCAAGTCAAGGCAGGATATCAGGTTTTCAAAGAATAAACAGTAGATTGAGACCAAAGAAGCATACTTCCCTTACTTTTCATGATTGGCTGTAACACAATTGAAGTTTGCCTTTTGATTTCTTTCTTTTGCTATCCAAACTGGAGTGTTTAAGATGTATGCATGAGAATTCTATGGATGTGGTAACAACTACCACAGATTCAAAGGCTTGAAAGAACCCTTAAGCTCTGCAAGCCAGGCGATTTTGAAAGGACAGATTGTTTGGAGCAGGGGACTCCAGGAAAGGCTCCCTTCCTTTTTCCCTAACCTAGAAGCCACCTCTGTTCCTTTGTAGTCCTTTTCTCCACTTCCAGAATCTATCCATCCAATTGTGCTTTTCGTGTCTCATATTATTTTTGTCCTTCTCATTGTCCTCTCACAGTGAACCCTTGGTCCTACTGAGAACATCAGATTATCAAATGTAATCATCCCATCTCAAAATTTTAACAACCCAAGAAGCAAAATTCAATGCATAAAATTAGATTAATAGATTTAGGATATTACAATGATATCATCTTTGAGTAGCCATTACCCAGCCTACCACATCATACCCATTTATATCAGATTTTGATCTATTTCCACACAATAAAGTTCCATGAAAGCATATATAATATATAAATAATAATGATTACAAATGATTATATATAAGTCATGTACATATTTTATGGGTTGTTGTATTTTTAAAAAAAGTATTTAATATAAGTGAGATAGAAGCCTAAAATAGATATTTGTACTCAAGATGACATTAGTAAGCTATATTTATTTGATTCCAAATGTGTTACATTCTTAATTTCCGTGGTAAATATAAACTTAACCACACTCTGCAGAAGATAAGAATTCTAAAATCAGAAATCAACACCTGCAGATTTTGTAACATTGCACCTGTGTGTTTTGAATGAAAAAATTAACACCATATCACATGCTATCTTTAAACACTAATAATTTTTATTTTTAAAAATAAAAAACCTTAAATATAACTTAGTCCTAATAGAAAAATTCAAAGCTATGCTAAGTTTGCATAGTTAAGAGTAATAGTGTTCCTTAGTTAAATAGCTTCTGTGTTAATGAAACGCCACCAAAGAGTTTTTATTACTAGCTATGAAAGATTTCTCCTTATAAATATACATATAATGAGGTTAAGTATAATCGTATTATCCTAAAGTTGTGATTCTTAGTTTGTATTACTAAATATGTGTGTGTGTGTGAACAGCCCTAGTTATATACATCTATATCCTCAAACAACTCATCATAAAATAGGCATAGTTTGAATTATCTTGCTAATTATCTAGTTTAGGCTTTATATTCCTGGCTTCCTTTGGCTCCTGTACATTTGTAGTGTTTCTTCCTTCCGGTGGTCTCTCTGGGGTCTCAACTTGGGCACAACAAAACCAAGAGATGTCCTTGGAAAAATAAGTGAGTAAATAAGTATGTTCAGGAGCCTTGAGAGATTTTCTCCTTACTTTTGAAAAAATCCATGATGAAAGTAGAGAAGAAAGCAAAAACATAAAAATCTAAGACTGATGCAGCAGAGAAATCCGGTATCTTTACTATGTTGTTCTTTTGACTGGGAGCATCTTATTTCCTTTCCATTATTCATGTCTCCTGCATATCTATCTGCTCAGGTCAGTTACTTTTTTTCCACATACGTTCTTTCAGAGTTCATAACCAATGAGAATGGGGCCATGTTCAGAGGAATGCTTCCAAAAGCAGCAGTATTCATTGATCGGAATTTATTCACTTATGACTTTACTTTTTTCTTTTTTATTTAAATTAACTTCTCTCCCTCATGGCTAAGGATTGAATCCAGGATATTTAGCAAGTTACCCAAGTCCTGTACTACCCAGCTGTGCACTTAGCCTGCAAATCTTTTCTTTATTTGCAGACCTCCCTGTGATTTTCAAGTATTTCTTATTTTTTCTTTCTTAGAGATAGGAAGTTTAGGGAAATAGAAACTGAATGTTCCTCACTTTATTAAGCAATACTGTATTCTGCTCTAATGATTCCCTTCTATTGCTTTTTCTTAGTTCTAATGAAGATTTCATAAAGGGAGAAGCAAGAGAGATATGCTGGCAACAGAAACTAAGACTAGAATGCACTGGGTGCTGGAAAGCCAGGGGAAGGTATTTGTTTGTCCTGAAGGCAGTATCAAGACACTCACAGTTCTTGAGCTGAGGTGAGGGGCCAAAGTGGTAGTTACAGGAAAACAACACAACCATAGAACTCATGCTTGAGAAAAAGAGAGAAACTGAGTGAAGCAGATTCCTAAATAGATACCACTTAATGCCTGAGTGCAGTGTAGATATGACTTTCCCACAAAGGCCTGGCTCAGGATGATGTGCCTGAGAGTGTAAGGAAGTCAGTCAGCTTCTGCAGTATCACTAAGGCAGATGAGGTACAGACCTTATGGAGCTTATGGTAGAGAAATAAAACATGAGTGAGGTTTTGAGGTGAGGGGAGACTTTTAAGAATTGATAGTAGCAAAGACAGTGAAGAGAAGGAGCTTATTGGAAGAAGATAGAGAGTAAGTAGAGAAATTGTTTTAATCACAATATTTTTGCAACACACACACACATATGTATATGCAGTGCTAATTGGAAAATCCTGGATTGAGTTTCACAAAGTAATTGTCCTGATACGGTTTTGGAGTTATCCATGTAGAACGGAGTGTGCAGCCTTGGGAAGACAGGCTTTCCAGATGAGCGAGTACAGAGGAGAGGGGCGATGAAGCTTGAAACACGTGCTGCCACATCCGCTTTACTGTCTTAATAACAACACTGCCTGAAATTCTACTGCTCATGATGTACTTCTCATGATCTGTTTGATTTTCTCTGTAACATAACTTCTTTATGAACAAAGATTTAGCTATTGTTGTAGAACACCGTACCTGTACTTCAAGGCCATGGAGTGGTACGTAGCACATGGTAGGTAATAAGAAATATCCAGTGAGGGGCTGGGAATATGACTGGGTGGGTAAAGTGCTGGCTCTGGAAGCTTGTGGACCTGAGTTCTGCACTCCAGCACCTATATAAAAGCTGCATGTTTAAATCTGTAATCACCAATTGGGGGATAATAGATTCATCCCTAGGACCTGTGGTTCAGCAAGTATAGCTAAAAGTGGTGAGTTACAGGTCCTGTGAGGGACCCTGTCTCAAAATATAAGATGGAGACCAGCTGAGGAAGACACTTGATGGTAACCTCTGACTTTTACATGTACTTCACAGTCAAGTGCACTCCATCAAGCACATGCAACTCTGTCTCTCTCAATATCACACACACACACACACACACACACACACACACACACACACACACACAAATGCATGGGTGCATGTGTATGCCTCTTCCCAAGACACAGTATCTAGAAAATGTACCAAATGAATGAATAAGTAACTGGATGAAAATGTAATATTTTTACAAATAATTCAGTTCTTCAAACTGTCTATAACATCAAATAATTTGCTTGGCCAAGGACAAATATTTGATTAAATAATACATTTTAAACAAAGACATATTTTATTCCCCCCCCCCCCCCAGGTACCATTCTGACCTTGTTCTTTGATGTGTGACTTTTCACATGTGACTGATGTCCTTCTGGTCCTTAGAGATTCTTTTTCACTTTTGTTCTCTCCCTTTGAGAAACAAAATAGATATTGTAGTTACTCTAAAATAAAGTTGAATGTGAAATGTCACTGTTCTCATTCAGTTATGTAATTATTAAGACTGAACATCTATCTGTGATTTCCTACAAATCATTATTTTTGCCCCAAATAGATATTCTTGGCCTTGCTACTGAAAAAAATTACTATTGAATCAGCTTTGACAATCTTTTTTTCCCACAATTAACAAGACATTTTTTGTCAAAGTTTCCCTGGCTCATAGTCCTCCCAGGTTTGGTCTTCACATTACCCTAGGGTTTTCCCATGTTTTTAGTGGTAAAATTTTAAACAATGGGAGAAGGTAGCAGTTTCATCCCATCATCACTAACTTTGTTCTCTTCATGGTTTTGAATTTGTCTGAATATGTTTTTCTAGTCTTCCAAGTTCAAATATAACTCCCAAACACCATTATCCTCTCACTAAATATGTATACACAGAATATGTAAATTAATAAGAACATGGCTTAAACAGTACTCAACCTTGAGTTACCATGTAAAACTGTTGGGCAATCTTCACATGGCAGCATTTATTAGCTGCCACTAGTAAACAAAGGATGAGACTCAAGGCTGACTTAGGAACATAAAGAACATACCTGTGCTGTGGATGGCCAAGACTGACTACTCAGGTGAGGGCCGTGATCCTTCTCCATCCTCCCTTCCATAGGCTTCACTTTGTTGAATTTTATTGTCAGTGATTTAAACATCTTCTCTGTGGCAGTTCTGAAAGACCTCTGATTTTATGACCCTGTATCTTGAAGTGGAGAGATGTACTTTGTTTTCCTTTCCATTAGTAGACAAGCCAATTAGTTGTTTAATCAGGATTTTGTTCTGGTTAATTCCTACAGGCGACTCACAAGCTAGGCAGGGCTTTGGCTTAAAAGCAGTAAATTACTTCTGCTTGGGTAATTTGAGCTCTGTTTATGAACTTTGGAGAATCAAAATGCCCCTGTGAATAATTTAAGTTGAGAGGATTAAACAAGTGGATTTGAATTGTTTAAATATGATCACACTGCCCATTGACTGTTTTCTTCATTTCTAATTGTTCACCTTCCTATCTGTACCTGATTTTAACAAGGGAATATATGTGAATGACTAACAAATGAAACATGCATGAAGGTTCTAATTTAAAGCATATAATTTACTTTGCCAAAGTGCCCATTTCTAGTCATGAAACATGACTTTACTATTAAGCTTTCTTTAGTCTGTTCATTTAGTGGGTTGAAAAGCCAGTGTAATCTAGTCTTTGTGTGTGTGACGATCCAGTTCTCAAGCCTTTTGGGAGTCAGAAGTGTATGATCAAGAATTGATAGAGAAACTTCTTTCTCTGTCCAGAACCCAAGTTTTTTTATTTTTTGATGTTCTGTGCTATCAAGTGCTTTCTTTGGTATATCAGGTTATAAAGTTGTACAATTGTGCAAGTTTTTTTGTAGTTATCACTGGTGTGTGTGTGTGGCCTGCAGTCAGAGTCATGGTCTCTCACTGAACCTGGAATTCATAGATTCAGCTTTACTGACAGCAAGCAAGCCACAGGAGCCATTTTGTCTCCACCTCCCACACACTGAGATTTTAGGGCAGGTGAGTGCTAATGTGTCTAGGTATTTCTTGCGTGTGTCGGTGAGTCTAAACTAAGGTTCTTATTCTTGTATAGTGGGCACTTTATGGGCTGAAACATCTTTGTTTGTAGAGTCCACAGATTCCAATTTCTGATAACCACATATTCATGAATGTGGGGTCATCCACTGGGGAGCGGGCAGCCTACAAGTGACTTACATCATTAAAGAAAGCAGGCTTTCTCTTTCCCAGAAGCTAACAACTGCCAATAGCTTCTAAACTAGGGTTGGGTGACTCATGAGTCCATCCTCGCCACGCTGAACTGTAGACTGGCTTGATCTTGTGCAGAACTCGTTCAGGCAGTGTTAACTAAACCCAGCAAAGAGGGGATTATAGATATTTCATTTATGATTGAGCACTCCATGAATTCAGAAAGGCTCTAGCAGGCCTATTCATACCAAACATGGTGCCAATAAGTTTTGCCTTTTACCTTTCTCCTCCTTGCTAAACCATTAGATTACATTTTAAAAAGCTAACCACCAAGATCTATTCCCTTATTTGGCTACCTACTCATTCCTGAGATTGATTACTGAGGTTCAACTATAAAAGGACATCAAATTTCAGCAATAAAAAAATATTTTTTGACTAATCTAGTTAAAATACCAATCTGAATTTGCCAATCTATCCTAGCTCATTCTAACATAGACCACCATTCTTCTTTCCTCTTAACATTAGTATTTACTGCTGTTTCTGCCCAAGACATATTCAGCTACCTTGTCTCTGCCTCGCTTAATAAAGGGTATCTTTGAATTTGGCTTGTGCTTGAAAATTGGTGCTTGGTTATGGTCTGTGTCTATATTGGGGTCCAGAGGGGAGCTCTCCTAGGTACATAGATCCCTTCATTTACTCTTTGGATTTTGACCAATGGTGAATTTCTGTGTAAACTCTTGTCTTCTGCATACACAAGCACAAAAAGTTTTCTGATGAGGTCTGAGATGAGGGGCATAGATTTTGATCATTGGGACTGTGTATGTGAATCAAGGTAAGCCTTTTCCCAGCAACAAGATATTTAAGTTTTCTTTTAAGTTTAAATTTTGTGCCCTCCCTACCTTCGGAGGATCTTTCCAATGAGCAAGGTGAAGACAAGGGGAAGGACAAGGGTTTGGAAGGATTGGAAGTCAATGTGAGTATAAGCAGTTGTCCCTCAATATAAATCTGACCATTTGTCTAATTCCATCAGCTTGGCAACTCTTCAATTCTAAATTACAGCGTCCACATTTCTTGCCAAGAGACTCTGGCCAGCTATCATTGCCTGTTGCCTAACTCTCTAGTTTCATCTGTGGCCTCTGCTTTTTGCTCTCAACACCTGCCATAATAAATTATTATGAATTACTCTTTTTCTTCTGTTTATACCTGTTGTGGTTTAAAAGTGAAATTTCACCCATAGGCTCATGTTTTGAGCACTTGTTTCCCATCTGGTGGCACTATTGGGGGAGACCATTTCTAGAAGGTGGTGTCCAGCATGTAGAGGTAGGTGCTGGGACAGACCTTTGAAGGCTACTAACTTTGTGCTTCCTGGGCTGTTGTTGGGATATGCTCAACTACATCTCACTCTTACTACTACAGATAAGGCTATTCCCCACCCCCACAATGAACTGAAAACCTTGAGCCATGGTAATCTTACTCTTTTCACATGTTTTGGTCAGTTATTTGTCACAGGTGTAACAGTAACCCTTACAATGCCTTGCTTGGCTCATATGGCTATTTTCTATTTCTGTTGTTTCTCTTGTTTATCCTACTGTAGCTGGCTGTTTTCTTCTTTCAGCTCTCTTTCTTCTCCTCTCCTTTAGCCTGGGAGAATGGATAGACAGTCTCTCTTTCCTCTCCTCTCCTTTACCCTGGGCAAATGGGTAGGCAGTCTCTCTTTCCTCTCCTCTCCTTTACCCTGGGCAAATGGGTAGGCAGTCTCTCTTTTGCTGTACTATCACACCTTGTGTCACACATAGATATAGTTATCAATTCTCATTTTAAAACCACTTCTGGGTCCTCTTTTTGCTATCATTCTGCTCACTTCCTCTGGTGATGCTTTGGCCTCTTTTAGCTCTTTGTGTTTAGCTATGTCTTTGGGATAAAGTGGATACTCTCAGAATATTTCTTGAATGAATGATGGACACTGATCCAGATCATCTTTCAACTGTGGAGTAAGAATAAAGGAATTTTCCATAGCCAATGAAGAACAGAGGAACCAGAGAGATGTCTTTGAAACTGAGCAATTGCTGTGGTCCAGTTTCTGCTTTCCAATGCACGCAGAGCAAGTTTCATGTATGACCAACTGTATATCTCCACCTGAGCACCTGAAACAGCAGGAACTCAAATGCTTATTATACAATAAGGTTATATGATACAGTAAATGAAAGACTTAAAGTTTAATGCTTCCAGAAAATGTTTTGTTCTCATCTCTGACAGAAAAGCAGAAAGCCTCAACCTACCACTGGCAAGGAGACAAAAGTAACTTGAGAACTACAAGAGGCAAATTAGCTCCCAGTGGAAACATCTGAAATCCTATCACTGATGAGTCCTTAAAGGAAAGATAACATTTTTCAAACAAGACTCCTAGTAAGTAAAAACCGTGTGGTGGATCCTCCAGTACTGGTCCAGATAATCTCATATAAGTGGTACTTAAGTATGTTAATACCACCAATATAAAAGTCACCATTCTATTAATCTCTTTTCTTTCATTTTGAAGAAGCAAGAAACTCCTGCCTATTTTTAATGTAAAGAAAACTTAATTCAACTAAAACGTCACGATGGTCAAGCTTGGCTGATACTAAATTACTGGTTACAGTAAACGTAGCACTTCCTTACCACCTGATTTATACTTTCCCATTATATCACTATGTGTCCTTTGCTTACCATCTCTGGTGTCTACGACATCACTTGTAAGACAGGCCACTATTTAATTAAGCTTCTTTTAGCCCATCTTCTGTAGGAGGAAGACAGTTGACTGGTTTCAACCGGTTCTGTAACCCAAGGGGAAATCTTCTGGGGCTAGTTAATATGAGCATGCGCACTGCTAACTTTCCCTTCAGCCAGCCTAGAGTCAGTCTCTGCAAGTGGTGACTGGTGGTATCAGGAGACCAGATGACGAGAACCAATGAGGAGCAGACAATACAGCTTTCCTGATGACCACCCCCCTTGGGCCTTGGCAGGAGGATACAAAGGCCAACCCCACATCCTCAATGAGTCTACTTCAGCTTCCCACCTAGCTCTTGTAGTCTCTTACCCCAAGGGGTGGCCCAGAGGGACTGTCACTGCAATACCGGTTGGCAGGCCTTAGGGTGGCTCAGGGAGGAAGTACCTGCCACATAGGCTCATGTGGGCTGGTTTGGGCAGGGCGACTGCATTTTGGGTAGGCTGGTCTACAATTTCTTCTACATCTCCCAAATCAAGCAGAAGACTGCCTTACCTGGAATGACTGGTAATAAAAAGAAAATTAAACCACCAAAGCTGTGTTCCTTCAAAGAAATGCAATAAGAACACAAGCGCTAAATAAAGCTGAATGCTTCAGTAAATACAGTATCTTAAATGTCACTAAAACAACTGAAGTTGTGTTTGGATTTATGACTTTTCGGAAGATTTAAGCAATTCTCTGAGATTCCTCTCAGTAAAATTCAAATATCCTAGCTATACTTTCAAAAGAGAAGAATAACCACCGAGTATAAAGGAAATAACCAGTTAACAGTCCATAACCCCCCAAATGACTGACGAGAAATAAACAAGTCTGTTTATTGGAATGGTATCTATTTTTAGGAAAAGCAAATAAACTAATAATAATTCTGAACATTGAGTCATGAAAATTCACTGTACTGAGGACATACTCTTAGTAAGGCAGGAAAGGAAGTGATTAAATTGTGAGTGCTTTTTTTCAGTAATAAGTATTCAGAGGAAAACAGCATTCAATTCTATTTCAACTTCATGTGTGATCCAAGTTTAGGGAAGAGTATACATGGTAGTATATATGGTAATTGGATATATTATTTTGTATAAATTGAGTACTTAATAAATATTTTTCAATTTGTTAAACAATATTGACCAAGACAGAAAGAGAGAGGGGGACTGTCATCACAACGTTCACAGTAGAGGCATGTGAGCA